ACTCTATTCGCTACACGTTCGATTACTCTATACTACTTGAAATTCCACTCACTACTCGTTTCGATACTCTATGCTACCCACTCTACTCGTGATTCTACTCTTGCGACACAGCTCGTGCTCCTCCTCTGAACGAACGGACGCTCCCGAGAATAGACAACAGGGCTTACATCACGACAATTTAAAAGCATGTTGTCAGCGAAAAAAAAGATCACGTTTCGGAAACGCATAGATGTGCTCACAGTCGGACGAAACTGATCGAACAGATAAAAGTAATTAGAAAAAAAAAATGGTTGGGCAACGATCAGCATAGAAACAGTCGTACACCGCGACGAAGGGGAACATAAATAACGATGAGAAGAATCCGAGTACTGGGCGACGCGGTCGTTTTAGAAGCGCGTTGCGAGAAGCGTTTAGACAAATGAGCCGATGACTCACACGGACTTTCGCAAGCCACCGGTTGGAAAACCGATGGAAAAGACAGGTTTCTGTCCGACGGGCACGTTAAAAAGGCCACAGGGAGAAATGGTACTCCGTGATCAACGCGAGCACGAAATCCAAAGAGCTTTGCGTCATCTGGAAATCACGCGACGCGTTCGGTTCGCTCCGATGCGACGTGTCACGCGGTGCTCCACTTACGCGAACCCCGGAGCCCCATTGAAATCTCGAAAAGAAATTTCGACGGACATCTCTCGCGTCGCTAATCTTCTCTGTCAGGATTTCTTGTCAGGTACGAGCAAAAATGACAATTTTCCAGTCGGACGATTCCATTAAAATTCCATTAATATCGAAACACTTCGTACTTCCACCACGTACAATGGCGTCGAAGATCGAATTTCAGGCGTTACCTTAATAGCAGAGTTTACAAATCAGCCCGCCAGCATTGTCTTTAATCGTGTTATTTCCTTTTGTTATTACGTGGGAGGTTTCCATGAACAGTAATTTTCACGTTAACCATAATCGTCGCGCGGAGCCGCACGGATCTCCGTCCTTGACGAAATACCCGTATCCGCGGAGGCATCGGAGACAGTTAGGAGTTCCTTTTTAGGTGGCTGGCTAAGTAATTGCGGTCTGGTAGCGCTTTTGTCGA